TCCTGAGTTCCTTGTTTAGTAGAAAGCATGTGTTAGATTATGTCAGGTTTTAATGGCCTGTAGATTTTGAAACTTAGAAAGCAAAATAAAACTCTCAATGACACAAAGACACATAAAATAGAATTTTTGCATGTCTGGTAACATTATCTTTTTTATCTTTTTTTTTAAAAACATTATAGAAAATATCAAAGAGAAGAAAGTTAAACTTTGGGTTTATATAGAGAGTTACCAAGAGTTGTAAGAACAGTTGAAAATGAAAGTTTTCCATATACAGCTCACATTGCTTTTGTTTATTGTCTTTTTAAAAACCGTTCATTGGAGGCAAGAATTCTTCTCATTTCAAAATTTTAACTCATCTTAGTTAACATAAAGGAAAATGAGTTACTGTTAATTATTGGGTGACTTGACTTACTTTCTTATCACCAGACATGATTTAACTTCATCATCAGTCTGTACATTCTCTCCTAAACTATTTATGAAGTGATGTGACAAAAAAATATGTGAAACTTCTGGGTTTTAAAAAAAAGGTAGAGGTTTTATTGAATGCTAGAAATCTAGTTGTTGATGTAGTTGCAATATTTATCCTTTTCAGACTGGCTAGTATGCATGTAAGATTAGCCTTACCTTTTCATGACTAGATAGCTTATTTCTTTTTAGCAATGAATAATACTTCTTTGTATTAATGTATCATAGTTCATCTATTCACCCATTGATAAATCTTTGTTTGCTTCCAGTTTTTGGCAATTACTAAGAAAATTGCTTTAAACATGTTTTTTGGTTTAGGTCTAAGTTTTCAGCTCATTTGAGTAAATACCTAAGAGCACAGTTTATAAATTGTATGGTTAGACATGTTGATCTTCCTAAGAAACTCCCATACTGTCCTCTAAAGTGGCTGTACAATGTTGCATTTTTACCATCAGTGAATGAGAGTTGTCATCTGTGTTGTACATAGGGCCAGTGTAAGTTGGAGCCAAATCCATGACATCTAACAAAAGATGCTATAGGTGTATCTGTCCATTTTAAAATTCATTTTCCTCTGGTATGATGGGTGGGATAGCCATATGATTATTTGCCATCTGTGTATTTTCTTTGGTAGGATGTCAGAACTTTTGGTATATTTTAAATACAGATGTTTTATAAATATTTCTCCCAATCTGTAGTTTGTTTTTTCATTCTCTTAACAGTATCTTCATGAACAAAAGTGTTTCATTTTAATGACATCAGCATAACAATCTTCTTTCATGGATTAGGCATTTGGTATTGTATCTGAAACTCATCACCAAACCCAAGTATCTTTAGAAGTTTTGTAATTTTACATTTAAGTCTGTGCTTCATTGTGAGTTAAGTTTTGTGAAAAATGCGAGGTAATGTATTTGCATGAAGATGTCCATTTATTCCAGAGACTTCTTTTTCCATTGAGTTGTCTTTACTCCTTTGTCAAAGATGAGTTGTCCTATATTTATTTGGGTCTATTTCCTAACACTGCAATGCACTAAAAGAGTAAAAGATCACATGGTCGATTGAGAAGCAGGCAGTTTGAAGCCACTGTCTGGTCCCAGGGAGAAAAATGGGCATTTGCCTCCTGTGTGATTTACAGGCTTTGAAAACTCACTGAAGAGTTAGCTTATGGGTACAATCTGACTCAGTGATAATGAGTTTGAGGGGCTTTTTTTGACACTACCTTAATTTCTATTTTGTCATGACTGACAGTAGTCAGGTGGTGTCAGTTCTCTGCTTTGTTACTCTTTAGTATTGTTACGTATTCTCAATCTTTTACCTTTCTCTGCAAATGTCACTGCAATTTTGTATTGAAGCCATAAAAGTTAAGCAATGTAGAATAATCACAATTCTTCTTTGTTAGAGAAGAGTTCAGGGATCATTCTTTAGCACAGCAACCCATATATCCGCTTGTTAAATTTTGTGTTTGCACAATTAGAATTGCATTTATAGAAACTTTGTGAAGAAGAAATCACAAAATTGAAAGAAGGAGAAATCATCAAGGTTTTTGTTCTCTGCTTTACTTTTTTTTTACTTGCAGACATGTTGTATGTTTTAGAAGAAAAGAAAGCAAAAATTACATATTACATATTCTTACTGAACACATACAAAGAAAATAATTCTTCACTCCCTAATGAGTATTGGATAATTTAATAATATGTTTTCTCGCTAAATTTTAGATTCTAGTTAGGAAAGCGGTTTTGGCTTTAAATTTTTCTTTTACTTCTTTCCTCACAGCAACCTGAAGGAACTGGCATGATAGATGAAGAGTTTACTGTTGCCAGACTCTACATTAGCAAAATGAAATCAGAAGTAAAGACAATGGTAAAACGCTGTAAGCAGTTAGAAGGTACACAAACTGAGAGCAACAAAAAAATGGAAGAAAATGAAAAGGAGCTAGCAGCTTGCCAACTTCGTATCTCTCAAGTACGTATTATAGCAAAAATTTTCTTTAGTTATTGAAATATACTATGACATGAATGATTTTGTTAATGTCTGTATATTAAGTATGGAAATGTTATAAAGTGAATTGGCAGCACCATGATAGCGGAAGAACAGATTGAGGTTGTTAGCAGTTACAGCTTGCTCGGCTCCACAGTCAGCACTCTTAACAACAGAAGTCAGGAAATCAAAAGATGAATTACATTGGAAAAAATCTGTTGTCGGGGACCTCTCCAGATTGCTGAAAAGCAACAGTGTCAGGTCTAGAGACTAAGCTAAGGTGTGCCTAATCCAGACCATGGTCTTTGCAATTACTTACTATGCTTCAGAGAGCTGGACAGTGATTAAAGATGACAGAAGAAGAATAGATTCCTTCAAGTTATGGTGCTGGAGAAGAGCCGTGAACATACCATGGCCTACCAAGAAAGCAGATAGGTCTGTCTTGGAGAGAATGAAACTAAGCTTCTTAGAGGTTAGCATTTTAAAGCTCTGTCTCACATACTTTGGGCATGTGGCCAGGAGAGATCAGTCCGTGGAGAAGTACATCCTTGGAAGGGTGGATGGACAGCGTAGGAGAGGAAGACCTGGGATGAGATGGATTGCTAACAGTAAATGGGGCAGTGGAAGTTGGTGTGTCCCAATTAGTTAGACTGGCTCAGGGAAAGGCAGGGCACACAGAGCTGCTGTACATTGGGTCACTGTGGGTCACAGACAACTCGATGGCACATAACAACAACAAGACTAATGAATCTAGTAGAAGACTCCCAGTACTGACAGAATTGCTGGGAGCCAGACTTTTGTCAACTATAAAGAATGGGGTTGTTCACTCAAATAAGGATTTTTGATGGAGGAGGAAAGGATAAAGTTGATCAACTATAACTTTCATAGTTTTGCTTATTTTAACCTTTAATTCTTTAGTTTGCAGGCTGTACAAACTTTTTAATGATGTAATTCTCACTCCTAAAGACTTTAGGTTCAAAGTTAAGTTTATAGAGATAATATTGATACAAATTACTAACTTTCACATATTCTTTTAACATGAGATTTTTTTTTTCTTCCTATTTGATACCAATTTCCCCCATCCCAAAAAAAGCATGAAGCCAAAATCAAATCATTGACAGAATACCTTCAAAATGTGGAGCAAAAGAAAAGACAGCTGGAAGAATCTGTCGATTCCCTGAGTGAAGAATTAGTTCAACTTCGAGCACAAGGTAGGTGTTCCCAATTAATCTAATTATTTGTATCCATATTGATTTCTTTTTCTTAACTTTTGATTCATATGGCAGTTTCATCTTTACACTCATAGAGAATATTGGGGATATAGATAACTTATGATACTAAAAAAGAACACATTTTAATGTGGTTTTGAAACAGGTTTTTGAAATTGTGTCTGAATATGAAAGTGGTCAACCAAGGAATTTCTTACTAAGAATGTTTTTGTAGGTGTACATATTAACATAGAAGACTTGGGAAATTACCTCCTTTCCTTGCCATGCCCTCTAACTCATTCTTATCTGAGATTAGGCAGAGTAAATAGAACAATTTATCTTTTAGAACCAACACAAAGAATATATTAATCAACATATCATTTAACATGGAGGTTAATAATGTATTAGTAGGTGGCATTTGAATAACTCAGTAATCTGCTACTAATGGACAGTTGTTCATAAAAGTCATTCACTCCTTGGTTTATAGGTGGAAACTTTTAAGGCTAATTTCATCTCTTCCCCCCCCTTTAATATAACAGAGAAAGTCCATGAAATGGAAAAGGAACACTTAAATAAAGTTCAGACTGCAAATGAAGTAAAGGCAAGTGTGATGTTATGTTACATTCTAATGCCTTCAATTTATCATTAGTTGTAGCTAGAGTGGCTTTCATGAATAACTTTTCCCCGAATCATTTTAGCAAGCTGTTGAACAACAGATCCAGAGTCACAGAGAAACTCATCAAAAACAAATTAGTAGTTTGAGAGATGAGGTGGAAGCAAAAGAAAAACTCATCACTGATCTTCAAGAGTGAGTATAGTGCTTTTGTTTCCTCTTGCTCTTAAGCGGAGATATTTAGAAACTATTTCAGAAAACCTGGGTGTTTAAATATAACTTCTAAGTTTCAAGTGATATTTTAATGATTTCATTTTGTGATCTTTTGTTTTATAAACTTTTTATGCTTTTTATGTGTGGGGGAGGGAGAGTGGACTCCTAACTCAATTTTTTTTTAAATTATTTTTTGTGTGTCTATACGGTCAAATTGGATCTGATTGGTACAAGAGGAGATTGTCCCTTCTTTTCCCAGCAGAACATCTCATGGATTTGAACCACACGCCTCTAGGATTGCAGTGCAGCTTCCAGACACTAGGCCACCAAAGCTCCCTTAAGCTCATTTTTGTAGTTAACACCAGTCTTCAAATCATTAGCTCACCTTCTTTTTCTCATTAGACTTTCTTTCCCCCCCTTGTTGTGTGCGTCGAATCAGATCCGAATGGCACAGGAGGAGAGGAGATTGCCCCTCCTCCAGCGGAGCATCTGGTGGATTCATCTCACCTTCTTTTTCAAATAAATCTTAAAAAACCAGTATTGGGAATTACACATTTTAAAGTTTTGAGGTTTTAATCCATTTAAATAAAAGTTGTCATTTTAATTTAGATAACACTTCTCAATATGGAATAAAATTTAGATGGAGATTACAGATTGCAGCTAAATCATGATTTGAGTAGGAACCAGAAAAGAATAGCCAGTAAAAAAGATGACAAGTTAATGACTATATTAATATCTAAGATTAGGATTCAGGAAAAGATGAAAAGCACAGAGAAAGAAAATCATGGTTTTATAGTAAAATAGGTAGAAAAAAATTGTATGACTATGAGTAGCCGAGTCCCCTTCTTCTTGCCTTTCCCCGACTCTCAAGGGGAACAGTGTAACAGAAGCAGCCTTGAGCATTTGAAAGATGGGTTTATAGAAGTTAAGAGTTTGAATTTTTTAATTGGAATATTGCTGCTGGCTTATAGTTCTCATTGAGCTCTTATTATAGTGTTATATGATGGTGAGTTTTCACGTTCTGAAAATGTGACGTTGATGTTACGATGTTTTTGTTGGTTTTTTTCTTGCCCTCATTTATCAGCCAAAATCAGAAAATGATTTTAGAGCAGGAACGTCTAAGAGTAGAACATGAGAAATTGAAGGCAACGGATCAAGAAAAGACCAAGAAACTACATGAACTTACGTGAGTAAATAGAGTTTAAAAATAAAAACTGACTTGGAGATGTCAGGCATTACTCTTTAATATATCTGATAGGTACATTTTCATCCTGTTAGCTGGAATGTATTTTTCTTAAAAGCATTTTAAATTTGTTTGATTTATACCTTAAAGCACATAATAAAATGTAACTTAAAAAATACATATACAGTATATTTTTGCTTTAGTGAAAGGAAGGCCTTGTATTTCACTGATTCAGATTCCTATTTATCAGTCTGTTCCTTTTCTATATGAATTCAGTTTATATCAGCTGTAACAGCTAGGTTAAAACATGGCCATTTAGAAGCTTTCCATATTTATTACAAAACTGAATTTTAATGCAGTTTGATTGCATAAAGGATATGACTGGTTTCTTTCAAAAAGACATTTTACTCCAGTTAATTTTTTTCTAATTTACTGAAAGCATATAGTCAGTTCTTTCTCGACTCTTGAGTAGAATACTCAGGATCATAATTATTTACATACTTTAAATTTATAGGGAGACAGTTGCCAAATAATGAGGCTGTTGTTAGGTATGTCCTGCTATTCAGGAGTTCATTTCAGGCCTCTTCCATATCTACTGTCAGTGAGGAAGGTGCATCCATTTGGGGATGTAACTTTAATTTCATAAAGTTCCATTTCAAGTATCAGCCATAATTTTGTTAGAATAGTTTTAATGTAAATTATTTTTTATACTTCAAAAATCCATATTCTCGGTAATTCCAGTTAACCAGAACTAGTTTGGATAATAGCTGTATATGACATACTTGAAACTATAAATGGAAAACTCCTTATTTGGAATCTGTTATGCATTATTTCATCTCTTCCATTCCATTTAAGGAAGTTTATTTATTTTAATTGAGCAATACATTTAAAAGGAGATCAGAAGGTATAAACATTTCTTTTAAAGGTATGGGTACACGTTTTTAAAAAGAAGAATTTATCATTTAAATGATTTTTTAAATTTAAATTTATTATTAATTTCAGTAAAAATTTACAGAGACTTTGGATTTCCATTCATTCATTGTTGCTTCTTTTCTCCCCTCCCAACCCTCCCCCCATTTAAATTATTTTTAATAACTGGCCCTTTCAAAACAAGTTTGATTCAAGTCTTAAGCTAAAAACTAGAATTTCTACTTTGAAGTTGAAAGTGTGTATGTATATTCTTTCATTGTTTAGAGTTATGCAAGATAGGCGAGAGCAAGCAAGACAAGACTTGAAGGGTTTGGAAGAGACAGTGGTAAGTCAAGCTTGAAAATAAACAAGATTGGGGAGCTTTTTATGGATTTCCCCCATCGCCCTATTTTTTAACTTTATTTTAAATTCTGTATATCTAAAATACAGCTTTTCTTAATTTAAGGCGAAAGAACTTCAAACTTTACATAATTTGCGGAAGCTTTTTGTTCAGGACCTGGCCACTAGAGTTAAAAAGGTAATATAACAGTACTTAAGGAAGTACTCATATATATTACACCTATTATGTGTATTTCTCTTTATTCATAAATAAAATCATTTTACTTTTAAGGTATATGTAGCTATGACACTTAGATTTTTGTGATCTGAGTCTTGTCATAACCTCTGTTTCTTTATCAGAGTGCTGAGATCGATTCTGATGACACTGGAGGCAGTGCAGCACAGAAACAGAAGATCTCCTTTCTTGAGAATAATCTTGAACAACTCACTAAAGTACATAAACAGGTAAGAAAAAAGTGTATTTTGTAATGGTATTATAACTTTTCAAATCCATAGGGAATTTTCCTGCTTTGAACCTCTCATTTCTATAAAGCAACTACAAAAAGAATTACTAACAACTCTTAGCAAAATCAGTACTCAAGAATTATATACAAAAAGGCCAATTAAAACGTAATATTATTTCTACTCTAAGACTGCTCAACCTTTAAAATCATTGATAAGTTATTTTTTTTACTTTGTGATAGGCAGGTCTTCACTGTTAAATGAAAACCTTTTTTTTAAATTGGTCTGTTTACATTTAATGTCTCAGAATTAAATCTGTAATATATTGAGATAAGGTCTGTTTCTTTAAAAGTAACATTGGTTTCATTTACTTTGATTTTTTTATGACAGCAATATTTGATTATTAACAAAAAAGTTTTATAATTTTTTTATGTTTGTTAGAACCCTAATGTTTGTGCAAGAGTACATATGGTTAAAAAAAATTGTCATTTTCCTTGTCTTCAACTCTTAATAAAAGTATTTATCAATACTTATGGCTTTGTGTGGTTAAAAGACTATTCATTTCTATCAGTTTAGTAACTTACTGAAGGAACTTAGCACTACTGTTCATATAGTAGGGGCTAAGAACAGAGTTCCTCCCCCAAATAAAATTACATGTGTAACAAAGTATGTATGTGTATGATAAGTATTTCTGCCTAAATTAAATGAAGCCTTGCTGAAAGTTGTAATTTTACTTACCTACTAAAGAGAAATAGCACAATATTTATACTTTCTCAGTTCATCTTTTTAAAGCTAGATACATTTTCTTTGTGCCCTTAGTTGGTACGTGATAATGCAGATCTTCGATGTGAGCTTCCCAAGTTGGAAAAGCGACTTAGAGCTACAGCTGAGAGAGTGAAAGCTTTGGAGTCAGCACTGAAAGAAGCCAAAGAAAATGCATCTCGTGATCGCAAACGCTATCAACAAGAAGTAGATCGTATAAAGGAAGCAGTTAGGTCAAAGAATATGGCCAGAAGAGGACATTCTGCACAAATTGGTTAGTAGAACACATTAACAGATGTTAGTATGGAGATGTTTGTCTTTATTTTCTAACTTGCGAAGATTTGCATTCTTGGACAAAAACAAGGAAATTCTAAAATTAACACATTTACAGGACCAGATGATAAATGAGAACTAGCAAAATAGGCAAAAAATGACCAGAAATAGGACATATTATATCAAGTAGTGTTATTAAAGCGAAGAGAAAAACCAAAGAAGCAAAGAATAGGTTTCTGGAGAAAAGAATGTCACCAGTATGAAGAAGGAGGAGGCATTTATTGAGAAACAAAACACGCACAACTTATTACCAGCAAACAGACTCAATAGCTGACCCTCTGCTGAGTTTCAGAAGCTGTAAAGTGCACAGAAGATTGCCTGTATTTCCTGTGGAGCTGCTGGTAGATGCAAATTGCCAGAGAGGCATAGCCTTTGGGCTAGTAGTGCAACTTCCTATGGACTAGGCCATTTGTGAGTTTGTTATAAATAAGAAAGAGACCTAGATAGTCATTGTTGACACATGTTAAGCTTTGTTCTAAAGTCATCTTTTGTATTGTTTCGTTTTTCAACCAGCAAAACCTATTCGACCTGGACAGCATCCAGCAGCATCTCCAACTCATCCAGGTGCAATTCGTGGAGGAGGTGCATTTATACAGAACAGCCAGCCAGTGGCAGTACGTGGCGGTGGAGGCAAGCAAGTCTAAGCTTTTACATGTTTCCACAGGTTTGTATTTCATAAAACAATATAGGATTTAAAATCCAATACAGCATTTTAAATTGTAATTATAAATGGTAACTTTGAGCCACTGATTGTTAAATAATTTTTTTAATTCTCAGTCATGATTATTATTTTTTTAATAAGTGATAGTAGAAGCAACTTGCAAGGTTTCTTTGAGTCACATTTAATATTTCAGATAATATTCTTTAAAAACACCAGCTGCTACTTGCCAAACTAGAACTAGCTGTGTTATGCTAAATGACTGAATTGCTGTATAATTTTAAGGCCTAAAATGCAATAACGAATTCACATGGGGTTTAACTGCTAAATACGCAGTTTTGTATCTTTATTTAAACAAACATTGAATTTAGTTAGTAGTTCTTACTCTAAATTTTCTGAATCTGAAATTTGAAGTATTATCTTAACTCCTTCACCATTAAGATTCCTGTAGGTGGAATTGCAAGAAGCCATAACAATTTTACAATGGGCTTTTTTTTTAAAAAAATGCATTTTATTTTGTCCCTTTTCTGTTCATCTATCCATTTCTCATTAATAATGTGTCCATTATAGAAAGATAAAAAAAAATTACACATCTTTTAACTTAAAAGTTTAAGTTGTTTAAACAGACTGTTACATACACTCAATGGACTAGTATGCAATCAAAGAGAACATTGGTAAGTTTTCAGTATTAATTTGGATGAGCCTGGAGGACATGCTGAGTCAAACCATTCACAAAAGGATGACCATTGTATGATCTCACTATAATAAAAAGACAAAAATAGATACACATACAGAAAACAGCATTTTTTTTTTATAAGAAAAGTCATATTTTAAAAAAGTGGTAAAAGACATAGCATTTGTTGGTAGTTACTAGAGATGGGAAAAAGGTGAATACTTTCTAGATTTTAGATACTTGTTAATTTTAGCTGTTTGGCAGTTAATTAAGGGTGAGATCAGCACAACTTAACCAAGTTAAAAGATTACACTAAGGCCAAGAATAAGCGCTAATTTGGGTAAAAGCCACAATATACACAATTCTGCAATAACAGTAATAAACATGTATGTGTTTACATATGTAGATAAGTATGCTTTATGTATCAGTAAACATGTATGAATATATGAGAATACATGTAGAAGTACTTAAGCAAATTTATACGTAGATTTATATGTGCTACATAAATATTTATAAAATAAAGCACATTTTAAAATATTTTGCTTGTGGATACTTCTTAGAGATAACCAAAGATCCCATTCGAATTGGTTATTGCGTTTGAGGCCTTAAAACTATATAGCAATTTAGTCAGCATACTACAGCTAATCCTAGTTTGGTGAGTAGTATCTGGTGTCTTTAATGCATATGAGAGGCCATCTAACAGTCAACTCTTGGTAGGTATTCATCTGGAGCAAAAGAGAAAGAAGGAAACCAAATATAGAAGATACTAGTTTACAAATTTATTTATTTATTTTTTTAAAGAGCCTAGTTTATAGTTTTAACAGTTTATGTGAACCACCGCCTCACATACCTTGAACCTTAAGAACCTTTTATGGTTTCAAGCTATCATTCCCAACCATTCTAGTCAGGGTCACAATACAGAGTTCTGGACAGAAAAAGGTAAAATACAGAACAAAACTCAAATACATAAAAGGCCAGACTTACTGGACTCGTATGTACCAGAAGAACCTCTGAGGCACTTTACCTGAGATAATGCTTTAAATTTAGAAGTCAGCTATCAGCCACAAGATAGAGTGGTTCATAAATATTTGTGAGTACTGTGATATTAAACCTGAGACCTAATTGTGAGCAATTACCATAGATAAGGTAAAAAGGGGGACATGGAAGCTAGATTATTGAAAATAGAACAACTAGTATAGGGGGGGAAAAGAATGCTGACGACGTTGTAAAATGTGTGACTACTGTCATCATGTACTGAAAATTGTTAAATGAGAACGTAATTTGCAATGTAATTTTTCTGTAAAGTCACAAAAAATAATAAAAACAAACACAAAAAAGTAGAGGAAATAACCTTTGGCCACTAGTATGAATTGCTTTTCCAACTTTTTAGTAAATGCAAATAAGTGACATTTAAACTGCTTGTAAATCCTCTTAAGAGTCCTGATGGCATAGTCCCTTTCATTCTTGGTTAAATAAAGGGCCAAGGAGCTCTGGTGAGTGAGGAGCTGAGCTGCCAACCTACAGGTGCACAGTTTGAATACATCAGCTGTTCTGTGCGAGAAAGATGCACAATCTCCTTCCATGCCGTTTGCTGCCTCTGAAAACCTGCTTGAGGGTCATTTCTGAGTTGATGATTATTGTCACCATGGTTTATAATTGATTGGGCAGCTGTGGTTTTTGTTTTGTTTCTAAATAATGTAATTCTAACTGTTACACATTTGCTACTTTGTAGCTTTTTTAAAAAAATTAATATACTCTAAACATTGTCTTCTACAACCAGCCAGTACCATGGAGTCAGCTCTGGTAATGTGGTCCTTAGCATATAGTGCTGTTAAACTAAAGGGGCATCTCTAGCTGTTAAATCCACCAGCAGCACTGAGGGAGAGAGATGGCCAGTCTCCTGCGTTAGGAGTTACAGCCTCAGAAACCCACTGAGGGGCTGAGCACTGTGAATCAGAACCAAGTCTATGGCCGTGAGAGAGTTGACCGATTGAGTGAAGTAGGACTTAGTTTAGACTACCTGTGGAGTGACTTATGATCAAACTGCACATTTTTGTTTAGTAGCCTGATTCATTATAAACTACACTGCTAATGCTGCTTGATAGTTCATATATAGGGAGCTCTGATGGTATAGTCTATAACAAATTGTGCCACTGACCCAAACCTCTAGCAGTTTGAATCCTCTAGCAAGCATCTCCAAGGGAGAAAGATACGCAGTTTTCCCTTGCAGTTTACCACCTCTGAAAGTCAATGGGTTATTGCTCTGGGTCAAAATAACTTGACAACAGTGAGTTTGTGATTTTGACATTTTGATATTTCATCTTAGTGTAGTAACTCTGTAACTCCCAGGGATGTGCTCATGCTTTACATGTTGTGTGCCCTGTAGTTGGAACTGACTTAATAGCTGACACTCATCAGTTGGTTTTTAGATGCTGTAAGTTGTACAGAAGGATATTGTCCATCTCTCTCCCACAGCATCTGGTGGATTTGAACCGCATGCCTTTGACTTGGCAGTGCAGTTCCTTACCACTGCACTATAGGAGCTCCCTAGATCCTGTGTATCATCAACTGCAACTCAGCAACCCTGCAGACAGATAGCCCAGAACCTTTCCCTGAACTACAGTATCCTCACAGTCTCTGCTGTGCTCAAGCCTATTGTTAAACTCATGGTGTCAATCATTTCTTTTGAGAGTTTTTCTTTGGAAATGAAAATGCGCTAAATAATTGAAGTGATTTACTGTTATCAAGACAAAGAAGTTGTTATTGTTATGTACCATCAAGGCAAAACTCACTCCTAGCTCATCATCAAACAGGTTATCAGAGGCAGTAAATCAAATAAAAGTAGATTGCCTGTGTCTCTCCCATGGAGTAGCTGGTGGATTTGAGCTGTGTACCTTTGGATTGGGAATTCAGCTCTGTGCCAGTTATTTTTGAAGATTCACATTTCAAACTATTTCATTTTTGTGGGACAATATAAATTTTAAAAGAGAGTGAATCTTTTCTACTTTTATGAGCTTGAGCAAGTTAAATTTCTCATTTTTACCCATTAAGAAAGTTTACATTAGAGGCATATTTTGTATTTGTGACAAAAAAATTTTTATTATTATT